TAAAACAAGAGGCCAGTAGTCTCATTGTCTATTGTTCTGAAGTGTGATAGTACGAAATTAAGGTAGCTGGCCGACAATGTCAAAAAAAATTGGAACGAACATTAGAGCAATTTTAGCCTGCGTTCAACTTTAATTGCTCCTTCTGAAAACGTTCCTAGAATATGAAAAAATTAACTATAGTACTGAAAGAGAACTTTATTAAGTATTGAAACTTTTCGTATGGTCACATATTATGGTGTACTGAAATGATTGAAGCGTACTATTTGATTTGATGTTTTAATAAGTAAAGACAAAACAATAACAGTATAACAATCCGTGGAAAGTTATTAATTAAGTGAAGTAACAAGTCCGACTTTTGTAAATTTGTCATCGCGTCTACAATGCCTCGGTTGGTGTAGATCTCCATGCATCGTGGTGAACCGATAAACCTAATATACAGTATATTATAGGTGAACTTGTTATATGCCTCTTGTTCGTTTGCGACGACCCGAATGGCGTAGTCGGTAGTGTACCTGCCTTCTATATATATATATATTTCTTTGCTTACTGTGATAGCACCAAGCCCACTGCTCGGCTTTTTTTTGTTTTTTATTATTTCATCTGTTGCACGAATGGGCAGGCTCGTCCAGTGATATACTACGGCCTGACAGACGACCGGCGTGAAGTGGAAGTGAAGTTGTCTGGTGAGCGTGATAACCTTTTCTTTAAAGGTTGTCAACGCATCAGTAACCTTTCTGGTGTCGCCCATAGGGGGCGGTATTCACTTAACATCAAGTGAACCGCCTGCTTGCTTGAGAACTTTTTACATAAAAAAATGTTAAACGGTAGAACGATTAGAATTATAAGTTAAGAGATTGCACAGGGAGATTAATCTGGAATTTGAAATTGGGCTTTAGTTCCATATTACACCATAAAAATGTGAAATTACCACATTAGATAATTAATTTCTATACAAGTGGTATCTATAGTGGTAATAACAAAAGAATTGGGTAACAATTTTGACCCAAAATTTATAGGTTAACCCAAAATTTGTACACTATTTAACAATTGGTTTAGAAGAAATTGAAGTAAAATGTTAGAAAATAAACTGTTTAAGCATAGAAAGTAAATTGTAGTTTAATCATTTAGTTCCTTTGAATTAACTGCTTTTGTTAACCACAAATTTACTGTTGTTTCTTTTTATGACCTAACGTGGCGTATTTACCATAAAGTGTCGATGGTTACTTATCAAATAGCAGTTAAGTATTAATGTTGTGTAAGAATATTCCTAACGTAAAATAGGGATAAAGTTTTTATTATTTTAGACGTAAATCGAAACCATATTTTTCGCAAAGAAAATTTCACATAAACTCATGAATCATCAAGGCTAATTAAGGTCAAGAATTGTGGAACACGAAGGCACCAATTAACTGTTGTGCGTTTTACGACCGCGTTTTAAGTGTTTCTTTCGCTGCGTCAAGGAAGGCTCATTATGATCGTGGGTGATTTCGCATCGTAAATGTACCCGTAGGAGCGTGTAAGCATAAGCTCGACCGCAAGCCATAGTGGGATGGCTGCTCGTGATTTGAGGTCACCGCGTGTTGGACCACCCGCGGATTGCACCGGGTAATTCCCGAGCCGCAGCGTGAGGCCTCTTATTAAGTGGTTTATGATTTTTTACGGCCCTAGCCGACGGCTATGCGCATTTGTCAGTGCAAAATGTATTGTCTTTGTAGTTTTTTAACATTCTAACATCGATATGAAAAGACGTATGGTTTTTGCAGCATTTTATTATATTATTTAAGGACCAGTGATTTGATTTAAACTGATCAAATCCTCCAATCTTTATAATTGATAGTCTTTATTTCCAGCTATAATAAATTTCATTTATGGATTTTTTTCGCTTATGGTTTTATGGTATAAATCTTCGAAATTTTGACCCCTTGTGTTAACGCGGATGCTAAAAATTGTTAAATAAAATTAGTTATATATATGTCTGTCTATGTTGATTTTGCGTCAGCTTTCATTCAGGTAAAATTAATCCTCGTGGATGAAGTATAGTTGAACGCGGGACACCATGTCGACTAGTGACCATCTCATGTTACTTTTCAATTAATTTTCATTTCATCGCACGTAGGGAACGAGTTGTGACGCAATGTCTACATGCCGCATATGTCTCGCTTGACTGTACCTTGTCATGTATTTTTTTTTTAAATGTGGCACTATTACAATACAGGGTGTCCCTTCCATGGTTGCATGGTAGCTAGCAGTAGATTATGATCCGGGTACTGGAGTAAGTGGCGCGTCGTTTGCCGACCAGTTCCGCTTAATGAAGTGGCGCGTGGTGGCGATTGCGTGCGATACTGTTAGGGTCCGTGGGCGGTCCATTCAGCGGCGCGGCTCCCACGCCTCGTCCGCGGACCCCGCGGGGCCCCGTGGACGAATCGCCGGCCGCGGCCGTTCACCCCGAGCCGTCTGCGGCCGATCTAGACCTCGCGATCGATCAGTTCGACGACGGACAACCTCGACCCGCAAATTGGAATTGCGATCTGTTTATTACCATTCATTTCGTCCAGGCAACGACAACGGGTGCGTGCTGTCATTTGCTAAACGTGTACGCATCAGAATGTTAACATTATACAACATGCCGATATTAAAAAAATGAGAAAATCCTAAAATTTTCATATCCTAAATGTGTTTAGCGAAATCGTAATATTAACAATTTGGCATTCAGGTTTCATTACTAAATAAAACTATGTTTACGGGTTTATCGCGTTTATTTTTAGTATTAATTTCTGTCCCGTGACCATGAATGCATTAAAGAGTTATAATAATAAAAACTAAATATAAACGCTATAAATGAAACTACCGCGATAAAAGCGTAAAATTACGGATTTATCGCGTTTATTTTAAAGTTTTTTTACAGCTTTCATGGTCACGACATACAGTAGGTCGAATAAGTTTGCAGTTTGTGAGCACACCTTAAATCGGCCCAACCACTGCATCAGGTATTGATAGACCATATATCCTTGCAAAAAAAATATCAAAAATCCTCCCAAGGATGATTCGTGAGGCGAGAGAAAAGGGTTGGCTGCTACCATTAGCTTGGGTTACTATCATCAATAAAATTAAATCTTAGCCCAAACGGACCACTACTGCAAGACAAGATACAATTAGATTCTTCGGTATAGGTCGGAAACAAAATTAATAATTCAAAAACTGACGATAGCCCTGGGTAACTTTCCATTAATTCAGACGTCCAACGCCTCAGTCTGTCCCGTGACAGGAATTTTTTAAAATAAGCGCGATAAATCAGTAAAATTAGTTTTATTTATAATGTGTAATCGCGTTAATACAAGAAATTATTATTTAGATTTCCTTTAAATCAGGCTTCCTTAAGTACGTAAAGGAGCATCTAAAATATTGCTTAATTTTCTAACCAAGGGTATTTCTAAGGGTAATATTTGATGGAAAATCCTTGAAATCAAAAATTCAAATTAATTGCCGTATACGTTGGAAACATGCAAGTTGGACGGAAGATAAAAGTACACTAGCCAAGTATAGGGATGTGTTTCGCAAAAGTAAATAATTTTGTACAAATTCAAGCATTTGGATCAGATTTCCTGTCGGTGTCTCGTCTATATGTACACGGTATGTTGAAAATTGCACTACCAACTAAACTTATTGCCCAATGCACCTTTATTTCGCCATGAGAGGTCAGTAAGTAAAGAATATTTTCGCTAACATTGTAGTGGCTTTTTTTTTTCCGTTCACAATTTGAGATATATTGCCAGCTATATTATTCAATCAATAAAACCAAAACGCCCTAGAGAAAATGTTTTTTAAAGACAATCAAAATTTTCCTCTAATCATGGTATTAAGATTTGAAATTGTTCTGTTTTATTCGCAATGATAAATTACAATTTATTAAGTGTCTTTGCTCTAACGAAAATACTTTGTTAGGTATATGTTAAAAATCAAAGTTTTAATGATATGTCACATATTTTTTTCTGTTAGAATTTAAATTGAATCCTGAAGAGTCTAATACAATACGAGCATAAATATAAAAAAAGGATATTATGAATGAATGTCTTAACTATGCTAAATAAGCTTCACATTCATATAATTATGTATTTCAAAGGAATCCGTAATTATACGCTTACGATTTACTTTTATGTTTCAGACGTCGCAACACTGTGTAATTTTTTCCCCACATCTCGATATTGATTATTTCGTCGCATTAACCGCAATATGTCCAAAGCATCAGCAGAACAGGAATGGAACGGATTGCTAGTGACAGGCCAGCCCCAGTTTTTGCAGTCCCCCCCCCTTTCACCTTCCCTCCATGCGTCGTCACTTATCGACGCTTTTAATTACCGCTCCGCGATCTGAACAATACTCTAACAACTATTATGGGAGAATTCGAATAGACAAACCGGCCAAGTGCGAGTCCGACTCGCGTACGAAGGGTTCTGTGCCATTAAGTATAAAAACGTCAAAGAATTATGTCTGTTGTATGGGAGTCCCACTTAAATATTTTCTATTCTGTTTTTTACCATTTCTTGTTATAGCAGCAATAGAAATAGATCATCTGTGGAAATTTCAACTGTCTTACTAACATAGTACATGAGATTGGCTTGGTGACAGACGGACAGAAAGCTGAGTTTTAGTAAAAGGGCCCCTTTTACCTATTCGGTACGGAACCCTAAAATGAGAACAAAAATCGAATCGATTTTCGCCCAGACAAATAAAGAATTAAAAACGCAAGATTTGCATGAGAGCCAATAGGATACAAACTGTTGAAGGTCATCATCGTTTGATCGACAGCTGGAAGAGATGTTAAACTTTGTTGCCTTTGTGTTCACATCAAAAACTAGCGTTGTGGTGCTTTAATTAAGTTGAAAGATAATAACTGTTTAGTAACCAGAATGGACGAATGATATATTATTTCGCACATGCTGAGTTTCCAGGCTGGGGAATGTAATTTTTTGTAATTCTGCTCACTGACTTGCTAATTTCAGAAGCCTCACAAGATGATTCCGATCAGCTGTTGATGCGCCGCGACCACAGGACATCGTTGGGTAATATAAAACTCTAGCTGATTACCGACATGTCTTTCACTTTGCTTTTTATTTTTTTATTATTTTATTGTTTTTCAAACTCATATAATATTACACCGAAGAGATAAATATATCCTTCACAACTGGAATTAAGCATATGTTTATATACCTACATAGCACTGGACTAACAAACATCATATTTATAGTAACTAATAGTGATGTACAATATTAGTAATTATAGCAATTATGTACTAATCTCATTTAACCTTTATGTTTTATACCTGTGTTGCGTGTTCTAAATCCCATTGTAAGCCACCTCGTTCTCAATTTGTATATAAATTCTTTCAACTAAATAAATGTGCTTTAAAGGGGAAACAAATACGTATTTCGATAAATTTCAACAATTTATTCGCATGATAATCGTCAAATGCTCGTAGATTAATCATCAATGATTGGGGTGTTTTAGTGATTAACTGAAACGCGTTCCAGACGGTCGTTCGAGTGGGTCGGCCGGAAAGTGCCAGTATGAGGGACGGTACTTCGCCGATGGTGACGAAGTGCTCACCCACGCGGCCTGTCTGCGGTGCCGATGCGGCGGCGGCGCGATATCCTGCCGGAGGCGCACCTGCGCCCCCCTCCCGGAGCCGCCGCCCCCCCGCTGCCACGTCACGCATCGGAGGGACGCTTGCTGCCCCGAGCTGCAATGCCAAGGTTTGGGAATCAGCGATGGGTACGACGCCTTCGTTTAAGTTTAGAAGAGGCAAATGTTGGCTGGATTTTAATACAGAACACTCATATTAATAGGGCGAGATCTTTAGGTGACGTAGTTCTAATGAGTATTAGGTTTTATTGTCTTAATACTTTTGTTTTCAACCGACTGCAAAAAGTCGAGGTTCTCAATTCGACTGTATTTTTTTATGTTTGTTACCTCTTAACTTCCTATTGAGTGAACCGATTGTGATGATTCTTTTCTCATTTGAAAGCTGGTACTTCCCATGTGGTCCCATGTTCATATAATTTCATGGTATTAGATCATAGTCTTCGGAGATACTTCGGGAACTCCTGGAAATAAATTACAAAATGAATACAGAGCGAAATATTTGAAGTCGGTTTTGTTTTTCTATAGTAAAAATATGGAGTTGTCGTCTGAATTTTCCGATAACAGTTTTCACTCTTAATGGAGCTTTTTTTTATTTAGAGGATAGTAATGAACTTGTGTTTATGTATATGTGTGTATATATCTTTTTATTAATCAAAAATACGGTCTCAAAATATACATTTTGAGACCGTATATTGAAAACAAACAAAGTTGAAAACACTCTGAATCTAAATTAAATTTATTAACACTAGTTGATTGAATGTGTAAAGTGAATTGTAAGTTACAAAAGTAATTTATAATGTTTGAACTAGCGACCCGCCCTGGTTTCGCACGGGTGCAGTGTATTATACCTTCCTCTTGAATCACTCTATATAGTAAAAAAAACCGCATCAAGATCCGTTGCGTAGTTTTAAAGGTCGGTATTAAAGTTCAAATTGACTTTTAAGTATCATTACGAAACTTTTGTACGGGAATATGGAAATGTGTTGTTTTTAGACTTTTGAAGGCAATTTTTGAAATTTTTCTCTCCGTAAGAACCATCTTCCTACTTCAAGGAATATTATAAAAAAAGAATTAGCGAAATCGGTCACGCCGTTCACGCGGGATAGCGTGAACAAGGGAAATAGGGATTCATTTTTATATGTTTGAATTATCGTTGACTTTTTAGATGGCACTGTCACAATGGAGCGAGCTTCGTCAGGGATCGAAGAGGAATATCCAGATACGGCGACGTCGCCTAACCACGGTAGGTGGTCCCTCACGAGGGTCAATTCCCAAGAGACGTCGGAAACTGATTGGAAGGACAGTTTTTCCAGTGTGCGTGGAGGGCGGTACTGCGTATTCGGCCGGCTCGGCCATGAGCTCGAGCACTGCCTGCGAGCAGTGCTTCTGCTTGGGGGGTGCAAGGCGCTGCGTGAGGCCCAAGTGCCTGCCACCGCCCATCGGGTGCAAAGCCCGCCCCGCTCCAGGCGCCTGCTGCCCCCAGAAGTACTACTGCGACCACGCCACCACCAAGCCCCCAGGCGAACGACCGTTACACGGTGAGATAATGAACTGGTCCTACTAAGTGGATAGCTCACTAAGATTCAATCCCCGGTGCCGGCACCAAAGAAATTGTTGATTTTAAGTGCTGACTTATCACGTGCTCGGCGGTGAAGGAAAACATCGTAGCCTGCATATTTTCGAAATCATAACAAAAAATAAATTTCGAAAATATGTGAAGGTCGCCAATCCGCAGTGGAGCCACGCGGTGGACTATGCCCTGAAACCCTTTGTACAGAGGAGGCGTTTGCCCAGTAGTAAATGTCCCATTTATAGACTGTTACTTTACTTTACTTTTTTTAATAAATGGATGATTGTTGCAACGAAAATCTCAGCTCATGCTTATACATAGATTAACTGAACTCACCTGAGTTGCTGGGAGTAATGATTTCCTCAAATATCAGCGTTGATTGAGACTAAGGTTAGACCTCGCTAGAGAGCGGCGGTACCATATAACGGGAGAGTAACCATAAGTATAAAGAGTACAAGTTCGGTAATATATGCAACATACTGCTGCCATATCTGGGCGGATGTTGCTATATGACGAAAGAGGCATGCGAAAAGGCTCATAGGTGACCCTAATTTGATTAGAGGCAATCTAACTGGCTTTGAGCATAGCCAGCGTAGCCAGTTTGTCGGTTTTCTACAAGTTGGAACTTTTGTGGAGTGCATAAATCAACATTACTATCTTTTAGTCCTTGGAATTCCACAGACTCAAACCAAGCCCTTTGCTATGCCATTAAATGCCTACGGCAAAGGAATGCAACAATTTGCCGGCGTCCGTCTTACCGTCGGTATATAACTTAGAGTTACTAAGGCAACAATTGGCTTTAATTGCATCCGATGGGATAGTAGTGAAGCAAAAGGTAGTCCTATGCGACAAAATAAGCAGCTGGGTATTCTATACAAGAGAACTTAGTGCATAGTATAGTCAATTGCATAGAAACTTTACTGTAATTGGATAAACGTATATTAATAATCATTGTCATTTTCGTTATACGGATCCACATTGAATGTTCTTCCACGCATGTCACTTATTGCTGTTTTCTTTGTCCTGTTTTATTAGGACGTCTTGCCTATTGTTTCATTTTTTTATGTGATAAAGTGGCAAACGAGCCGGCGGTTCACCCGGTGGCAAGTGATAACCGCCGCCCACGGACATTTGCAATACCCGTAGGGTTGCAGAAGCGCTGCCACCCATGAATAAAGTGGGCCCCGGCTACCTCACTCACTCAGATGAAACGCAGATGTGTAACGCAGGTCGTGGTACCCACCCTGACGGACGGACCTGCCCATTCGTGCAACAGTGAACACTATTGGGGGCCCTACCAACTTAAAATAAAAATTAATTTATAAAGGTATACCTTATCTTATATAACTGGTATAAATTAATGGCATTACAGATTGCAAAATCGACGGCAAGTGGACGATGGAGGGGGAACGTGTCTCATCGCCGGGTGATAAAGCCAATTGCTCTCAGTGTTTCTGTATGCGTGGGTCCGTTCGCTGTCAGTCCCTGGCTTGTGCCCCACCGCTTATGGGTTGCATGCCAATCCTGTCACCGGGGCAGTGTTGCCCGCATCAGTATCAATGTGATCATCAACAGAGACGTGGTAATTTTTTTCAATGTCAATAATGATAACAAAAAACTAGAATCATACTGCCAAGTTTTATTCCAGCATTTTTAATTTTTTATTGATTTTTCCTACAGACAAATTGACATTAGCTTGATGATCGATCTACGGACCGACGCAGTTGCAAAGCGGTAGACTTTAGTAGTGTTTGCTATTAGTTCGAATCCTACTCGGGGCAAGTATTTGTATGACCTACAGATAATTGTTCTGGATCCGGTTTTTACCCTCGTTTTATTTGTTCTTGTCAAACTTTTCTACAACCTATGGATATATTATGTTACATTATAAGTAATTAATAAAATTTTGTAGAAATTTTTTTAACTACTAAGCTAAACGGCTGATTGTCAAACTGTAGAAAATATCAAAGTTATTATCTAAATTGTTTTTCACATTTTAAGCACTGCTTGGTTAATCTATTGTTCTTAAATTTCAAGCATGGTTTATGTTAAAGATAAAAATGGCAATGCCGATTCGTCACCGTTTGTTTGGAGTTCTTCAAATTTTTATAATAGTGAGAACACAAGCTCTTACTCACGGAGCGTTGGTCTTAAACTCATAACAAACTCGTAATAGATTTTAAACATATGCCCTATTGTCTGGTGGCTCGACGGTTATATGTTGTTTAAATAGAGACAGAATATTGCACACGATTGCAATAGCCGTTCCCTTCCTTATTTAAGGTCGATTTTGTCTCCGACAAATATGTATATTTTTTTAACGACTAACTGTCAATTTTCCTTTTGTGTGATTAATTTTAATTTATATGTATATGAAATTATACTGTACGTATCAACTATTTTTTTCAGGACTACCCGGATTCTACCTTCAGCCGATCATAGACAACACTTTAATATCAATTCGTAGTCAAGACAGGGCCTTTCGCAATGCCCCGTCTCATGACAATAAGACTACGACAGTATCGACAAGTATTAGTACTATTACAGAAAAAACCACTCCTTCAGTGACGACCATTAAAAAAGACTCCACAACAACCATTAAAGTGAAAAGGAAAACGAATGATGGCGCGCAGAGCTCCAACCATACGCCTGAAGAAAATGTTACCACCTCAACTGTGACACCATCAACAACTCAATCGAGTACCTTGGTAACCGATATTACTACAGATGGAACAATTGAGGATGATGCAACAGAACAGCCCGATGGATCAGTTAAGATTATGATTAACGGCACAATCAACTGCACCGCGGAACTGTCATCTACAGCGATTACTCAGAACACAACCAGTGCAAACGACACAAAGGAGTTTACAGACATCACCTTCATCCAACCGCGGATACCTAATATCGGGTTAGCATTTGAATCACACACTTACAATCCAAATGACATAATAACGGATAGAACTTACAGCGAAGATTTCGACGAAAACGAATCGTATACAATAAATGTAACTAGTTCTTTGATAAGTTCTCTACGAACGAACGCAACAGTGCCTACGACCATAACGCCATCTACAACAACGGCTGCGAAACCCCCATCCACCGACATTTTAGGTACCCTCAATATATCGAAGAAAACGAAGGACGATTACGATTACAACAATTACAATAAGCCGACCTTACCACCATCGTTACCAAATCTAAAGTATACAATTTTCTACAGATTTAATTAATTATGAGCGCGATCAATATAATGTTTAAATTATTCTATTTTTTAGGATCATTCCTTTCGTTGCAGCGGATGCTGTTGTCGATGATGAGATAACCTCAAAGGAAAGTTTTACTTACCCGATCTTAGAACGACATGACAAGTATCCAGTATACTATCCCAGTGTAGAAGCTAAGGAGCACCCATTCGCTACGAGGCGTGAAGAATTGTATAATCCGACTCAATTCCCTATATTTTTGTCGAAAAAAGTTGAGCCCTCGCACTACCCTCTTTCTGCTCACGGCGTAGACCTGGCCAATGAATATCCCAGCAATGGTGATATTATAACATCACTGCAAGATTACACGGTGACCACTTCCATTGGTAATAATATACCCCTCGTTAATAAGGGAGTCACCAAAGTGTCGAATCAGAGCTCATCTAAGTTTGATTTGCAAACACCTGCAATAAGTCTTTTTTCACCACCGATGGAAACTGAAGGTGAAGCTCATTCTGAGTTTTTTTATGATGCATATAGTGAACAATGAAGATTTAGCATAAATAATTTCCGATTAAATTTTTTTTTTACATTTTACAGGAGGTTTTATCCCAAAAGATCCGGGTATAATCGATGATTATTTCCCAATCTATCCCACCACTTCACCAGGGTCAGTGGTACCTCATTTAACTACTTCAATGCAACTTGACATGACAAAAGGTACGGGATTTATTGTAAATACTATCTGAGACTTATTTTTATTTAATACCAAGGCTTATACATATATATCCAAACTTCAAATAACAATTTCAATATTTTTTAAGGTTTTTAATTTTAGGCTACAGTTATATTATGTGAACATATCATATCGTAATATCATTTAGTTATCTTAAATATGATAATTGCATTAGTACATAGTATCTTAAAAGAAATGGTATCTCAATTACAGGTATCCAAACATGTTTTTTCCACCAATACCATAAAGGCGCTTGAGTGTAGTGTTCGGCACTCTTTCAATGAGTTTAAACATTTATGATGGTTATTGGTCACCCAATGGTAGGAAATCGACGAAATTTTCGAAACCTTATTTATTTATGACAACTGATTCATTCAAATTGACATTTTAAAATTCTTTGGCAACGATCTCTATTCTGTCTAATTTTTTGACTGCAGAGTATATTATGTGACGGCTAAGTTGTATAAATTAATGATATGAACGTAAATATTATAATTTTAATTATTTTAATTTATCTGTAATAAAAGTCATAAATGAAATGGCCTTTGTACACTCTATCTTTGCGCGATAGGTACTTTGCTCCAAGTTTACCGTACTTAAACAATTCTCATCCCTTGAAAAGAAATGTGCAATCACACCCGAGGTTCATATGTACATGTATTATACCTGCATTGTATATTTCAGGTTTTAATAAAAACTGTTTCTATTTCAAGGTGAGTGCGTAACCGGTGATGGTCGTAGAGTTCCTGAAGGGGAATCGATTGGCTTGGCGTGCTCCGTTTGTACTTGTGCATGGGGTGATTTACATTGTTCCCAGCGACCCTGTCACATTCCCCCGGGATGCAAACGGCAACCTGCCAGCCCAGGCTCCACAGATTTATGCTGTGGAGACTTACACTGTAATCAAGGTAGAGGTCTTTTTATTATTAAAATGAAACTTTTTTCCATTGCATCCAATTTTTTCGTCCATCTATCGCATGTCACATTACAACCAGCCGCGGAGTAGGGGTAAAGTGAATGGAGCTCGGCGGAGCAACCAAGGCCAATATGGTGGCGCACATGGCTCGCATCAGCTAACCATTTTTTATAAGATTAATTTTATTTCTTCAATAAGAAGTAAATTGATTTGTTTCTATAATTTTCAGAGAACGTTACTAAATCAGCACCGCTTTTCTTATCAACGAAGAGTGCCCAAGTAAATTTAAATGCTACACAAACGACGCAGTTGAACGACACGGAAATGTTAACGGAACCTCCTTTAACTAATAATACAACGAAAGAATCTGAACCAACTGAGACATTCCATTCAGACTTGCTTAGTGCTTTATCGAACATAGTAAATAACAAAACGGTGGTAACGGAAGATGATAAAGTAATAAAAGAAAAACATGCCCCTGAAGGAACCAATAGTAAATCGACGGACACCATAGAGGAATCAAACGCAAATAACAACTATACGCAAGAGTATGATGAAGAAGAAGAGGACGAGGGATTTTCGTTCGGAAGTGTGCTGAAACTTCTTCTCAGTGATAGTTATGAATCAACTACGTCAGCTGTGACCAAACAATCATCCGTACCCGTAACGAGTCGACCAATGCTTACTACAATAAATACCACACTAGCTCCAACTACTCCGAAGAAACCCCTAAAACCAACTCCAACTCCCTCTCCGGTTACTACCCGACCATCATTCTTGCCGCCAATGAATCAGCAAGTCCAAAATGAAATACATCGTATAGATCACTTGATGCTTGGGGAAGCGACGGCCATCAAAAAGACAACTCCACGGCCAGCAACTGTACCATTTAAGCCAATTGGTACTAGAAAACCACCGCCAATAAAACAACCTGCCACCCACAGGCCCACGATTGCCGCTAAGCCAGTCGAGGTAACCAAGAAAACTGATTTAGGCCAATACACATCTGTCGCTCAAGAGAGCGTTCGGCCGTTCTTTTTCAACAACGCAGGGGCACTGGGTGCGGGATTGTTGAAATTAGCTGGGTGTAATATATACGGTCAAATGTATAGAGTGGGAAGGATAATCGCAGAGCTGTCGACGCCATGCCAGGAGTGCAGATGCACAGAGATAGGGGTACAGTGCAGGCAGTTGAGCTGCTGAGTTAAAACTGGCGATTATCTAGCGACCGATCTATCCACCTTTATATTTAATCGATCAGTTTCTGTACAGCATGGGAAGGAGTTTTTTTAAGGTTTATACGAAACATTGTTACTTAAGTTATTGCTGGAAGTTTCTGGATACTGTTAAAATGTTAAAATTGGTTTCTCAAGCGTTGTCCCAATTTGTGGGAGTAGCAGTTTATTACCAAGGTATTAGGGCCATAGGACATGCGGTAGTGAATGCAGGTTATTATAATGTATTGATGGAATGGCAATTATAGTACATTATAATATCTTGCATAATATTATGCATAAGGTTCTGTTTGCAAAAAAAACAATAAAATGTAAAGGCGTAATAACACACACACAGTATGTTAGTAAAATTGAACATATAATGTTTGTGTTATAGGTTTTTTTTAAATACTATTAATTTCTATTTAGGAATAAGAGCTCTTTACCATACGTGTAATATGTGCAAAACTGAATCGACATGACGACGGGAAATATGTTAGGCAATTAACTATTTTGTTAGGATTAAACACCGTACCAGGCGCATTTTCACACAAAAGTTAGAAAGTTGTAATCTTGACACGTACATTTTTTTAAATATAAAACTGACCAGTACTTTTCTACGATGCCGCCTGGTGGTATGTAAAACATTGGAGAATACTCGTACCAAATAAGGGTTCCAGAAACTTTCACTCTGCTCACGCTTTACCTACAAAGTAAGATGTATATGTTAGAGTAAAATAAAATAAACGATATCAAATTGAAGACACCAATAACCGCTAGTAATGATCTCAATCTAATTTATACCATTGACATTGTACCGAACAGTCCTCGATATAAAGGGGAAAAAATCCACGATTTTATTTGTAGTTTTTGAGTTTTCACGATAAAAAGAACTTGCCAATTAAAAGTGAGTTCAAAATAATTTAAGACGTACTTTATACAATGATCCATTACATAAACTATGGGTATACTATTGTGGTTTAATTATTTAAAAAATATAAATAAAAGATGCAGGTTGTGATCAATGTATGTCTTTGATTGTTAGTAATAAAACTCTAAGCAAACTTTGTCTTAATTATGCTTATATACTTTACAGCACATAAAACAAAAAAAAAAATGCCATAGTAAATTATTATACATGTATTCCGCGTAACTTAGATTTATTTGATTCATTGCGAGCAACGCCCTCTGTTTCCGGGTATCCTATGATTCTTTAAAGACTTGCTAAAACTTGAACCTACTGATACAGCTAACTTTGGAGTATATTTGTAGAAAAATAACGGACATTATACATCGTACTTTTCTAGTCTTTGGGCCTCCTCGGCCATCGCGAATCCGTCAAGTACCGTTACCAATCACAACCTAACAGATGATCGACGTGAAGTAGGAGAGTTTGTACTTTTTTGTGCCTTTGCATGGTAAATTGTTAAAAATCACGTCGGTGTTCTATAGGGCAATGGAACTTTCGCGTATCAGCCTAAAAATTTATGTGACAGCACTAACAGGACACCCTGAAACTTCAGTGACTTATCTTTAAAAAAATATTTTTAGTAATACAATAATAAAACGTTTCTTTTTCCTTTTATATATTAATTTGGCTGGCCAGCAGGTAGTTTACTCAATGTTATTATTGCTGCCCATATACATTTAGAACATGCTAGGTATGGCTGATGGGTTGCTTTAAAAAAAATATATATACGGTCGAATTGAGAAACCTCCCCTTTTTTTTTAGTCGATTAAAAAGTGAGCCCCTTAGTATGTCAAAGGTTGCATTAGTCCACTATTATAACAGCAATTACAGCAATTATTTTATGGTGCGAAGGAATTTAATAATAAAGTGTAAATATAAAATTGCATAATTATATTATGTTTAAACAAATACGTTACACTGGTAATTAAAGAACTATGGAGCATTGAAATTGATTCCGGTTATATATATTGCCTGATTATTTATCTTATTTTGTCGTTATGAAATAACAAATAAACGTGCGTTAGCAACATGAAAATCTACTTCTATGATGAAGTCTAGTCACTACATAAAACAAAGTCGTCCCGCTGTCCGTCTGTCCCTATGTATGCTTAGATCTTTAAAACTTCTTTGATTTAATTTTTTTGACAAAAGATTTTGATGCGGTTTTTGAAGTGAAACGTCCTTATCGGGGTTGGAAAAAAATTTAGTGTAACATTTTTCCGTTACGCGCCATCTTTTTTTTATCTTAAAATGTTCCTCTAACGCCATCTAGTGTTGAATAGGGGGTTTTATGTCGTCTTTATTCTTTAGTGGTTTTAATAGTTGACGCTAGATGGCGTTAGTTCTTTTGTGTGTTCATAGCAATATATATATATATATATATATATGTTATATTAAAGTGATCAGCAAAATCAAAGGGTTTATTTTAATTCTAATTCTAAAATGTAAACAACATATTTCGTATTTCAGTTACCATAAGCCATTAATAACACAAATATATAATAACGACATCAATGATAGTAATAATTCTATTACAATTAATGAAATTCAATAATAATCTTTGCAGTAATGACAGTGCTAGCTCTAATACTTCAGAGCACGACACTGTGTCGACTTCCTCTTCTCCAAAGGCAGGCACCGCCCACCGTGACCTGGCTGCGCCTTCCACCGAAGACACAATCTGAAGCTGACCGATGATGCTCTTCGAAACCTCGATCGGCTCACTTCTTCACTACACAAAAAAACTTCACTCACAACACTCGCGAGTCGAAGGTCTGCCTTCTACTCACTGGCTGACTATTCGGCAACGAAGGACCATGTACAAATTCAAAGCGGTTGTATTAATGTGAATGTGAAATAAACAAGGTTCACGTTGCAAGTTTTTTAATCAACAATTTTTGCGGACCCTCATACTAATTACAACGGTCAAACCATAGTGTGTTTTAATTTACTACTAACGTCACCTATGTATTACAAATAAGAAACTAAATATTATACAAAGCTAAAATGAAATAATTGTAGAATTTGTATTTATGTCTATGATAATAAAAGCCTTTTATTAAACTTTATCTAATTTTACTTTATTTAACCAATTTCTGTAAAGTTGCATATAGTAAATTATTTTTTGAAAAATAACGTCATAAAAAAGTTTCACTTCTTACGAGTGTACGCTAGTACACGCACACATTTTTTTTTTACTAGATAGAGTGATTCAAGAGGAAGGTATATATTATATGTATAATACATTGCACCCGTGCGAAGCCGGGGCGGGTCGTTAGTATAATATAGACCGTTTCATTGGTGCAGAGACCTCAAAATAGTTTACGTGATCGTAAAGGCACCAATTAATATAACATCATTTGTGCTGGTAGGTTTATACTGAAGCTCGGTGTGTCACAGCCCTTCTAAACAGAAATAAATAAATATTTTATTACACATTTTTACACAACGTTCTCTAATCCCAAACTAAGCAGCTTGTACTATGGGTACTACTACCTTCTAGATAACTGATAAACATACATAAACATACTTCATTTGTAAATAAATACATATTATATATATAAACACCCGGATACTATACATTATGTTCATATTCTATGTTCACCCAATATTTTTCCAGTAGTGGGGATCGAACTCACACCCTCTGACGCAGGAGGCAGGTACACTACCCACTACGCCAATCGGATCGCCATAGATATCGCCGGAGATGTTAGTCTATGCTATATGCATAGACTGCTTGGGCTAACCCTTGTCTATTTATTTCATTTCTCTTAAACTGAATGTTTACACAAAAAAACAATGGTGAATGGGAAAGTTGATGACTAAGTCTGAATTATCGTAGCCCAAGACGTTATTTGTTTGAAGAAATGAAAAAGGTAAATCATCTTCAGTCATTTATTTACATGATTATCAGAGAAATTGCCATGTAGGATTGTAACAATATGTCAAGAGAACTTATGTATAATAGGCCATTGTAAAATAGTTTTAAACGGATTATTTATTTATTTCCCACATTCAATGATGCTTCGATGAATTAGATTAAAGTATTAACATTTTCAATTCGACTAGATTGATTAATCTCTTTGGTGTTTCTTCAGTAATTTTGCAGGCGGGTCCATTCTCCTTTAGTTGACTGGAGTTAATGATTGGAGAATATGTAGTAAAATGCGCAATATATATATTCTCGGTGTCTTCATATGTGATTTTAGAAATTTGAAACATCTAAAACGAAGGAGTCAATAATTTTAGCACCCTATTCTTAAAACACATTTGTCAAGGTCGACAGTTTAAAATTTACTTATCAATTAACAATAATGCTTACCACTAAAACCCTTATAAATAAATTAATTTGTAAAAAAAAGAAACACAACTTAAAACATATGTTTTGATACAAAACAAAATAAAATATGATTTCATGGAAATCCTTGAAAATTAATTACATTTCACCTCAAAGCGCAGTTGGCAGAGGTAAATAAAATATTTAGGAAACGTTATCCCGAATAATATGAGTCTTCGCCATTCTATTAATTATGTATTTATAAAACATTCCTTCATGATCTATTTAGAGCCCATGACTTGTATACAATACACATATAAATAACATAACATCAAAAGACAGTATCTAGGTGAATATTTTAACGTTTGTTGAACACACTTAAATAATGTTAATTATAACACTAATTTGTTTTTGAAAAGAGAATGGAACATTAATGAGTGATTACGTGTCCATATACTCCGTCTAATTTAGTTATAATAACACTGTAATAAGTAACTTTTGGATTGAACTCTTTGAATTTGCTATCTCCGTTACTTCGTGGTCCAATAAACTCAACATCATGTAAGGACTTTTTATAAAAATTATTTGTAGATCAATGTATGATATGTAACAATAATTCTTAGATAGCAAACGACAATTGCCGCAAGGAATATGACTCGTTCCTTCAACCTTTAACTTTGTACTAGTTAACTATTTTTAAAGCAACCATAACAAATGGTCTTATTCTCTAAAGGATGCAAAGATGTTATGACATACGATCAAAAGGCGCTAATCTCCCCAAAGGCCGCTTCAAAATCTAACATTATAAATTTCTTAGGATGGACGGGGCCAATAAGCACATTGGATCTGATCAGTCTTAGAAGAATACGCGGTAAAACTGTTGTAAAATCTTACAAAAACACTTTGCCCAATTCGGATGAGCGACTAAGCTCCGCTCGTTGGTTCCGCCGTTTAACAATCCGTTCAGGTGTAGTGGTCCATGTCGTACCAGAGGACGTAGTGGGCTGCGGCGGCTACCACGCCTGCCACCAGGAGCAAACCGGAGACCATACGGCATGCCACTATGTAGCGTTTTTTATAGTTTTCCCCTGTAAAGATAGGTTCATTAAAAACTCAGTCAAGTAACAGCAACATTGCAATATTTGGACGTATCGTAAATCGATCGTATATGTTCTCGCTCAATTCGGTGCTCATTACATTACCCATTAGTCAAGCGAGCAGACGGTTCACCTGATGTTAAGTGAAAACCGCCGCCCATGGACAGTTGCAGATGACTTCACAACTTTTTGTAAATTGGGCTCCGGCCATCTCACTCATCAGACGAACAAATTTTTTACTACCAAGCTACTAATTCGTTTGCACGAATAATGACAGAAAATCTTCAATCAGGAATCGAAAAATTGCAAGCATTTAAAAAAACTTAAACAGATTAAGGTTCATTTAAGAACATTAAAAAATGTTTAAATATATAAAGTGTTAATGAGATGGTGTGAGGATCCAATGCGCGCCCGTGACCACCACTCACCGTCGAATACGACGAAGCTGAGTGGAACCCCTACTGCGGCGCCGAGGACGTGGGCAGCCCACGCCACGTGGCCGTAGTTAGCTCGCGTGGCCGCCGTGGGTGGGGCACGCAGCAGAGCCCAGGATATTTCCGACGTGGCCAGCACCACCACACTCAGTGGACGGAACCACCACAGCGGGATGTGACCGAATCTGGAAGAAAAACTGTATTATAGCGATAACCCGACGATGTTTAAACACAAGTAGTTTTGGCTGGGACAGCTAGTGCTATTTATTGACAGTTGGTGGTAAATATCACTGCACTACATTTTATGTTTAATGTTTAGCGCCTTCGTAGGTGTTCGTGATGTATAGTTCGTGCGTTGTAGCTTTGTGCGGGTAACAGCTGTCATTCAAATCCCGTCTATCTAGTTCTGTATTTTGTCATGCTACAATGTATGCCTTGCAAATGTTGTACTCTATTGTTAGGAGCGCACGGATAGTAACGTCCTTGGTTCGTATTATCATAAACGATAAATTGTTTCTTATTAAATTAAATTCTACATTTGTATAAAAATGGATCACAATGGGTTGGATGGATATCATGGATAAAAAAAATGGAAGAATAGATCAATGGATTGAAAATAAATTCGCTCAGCATATAAATTGAATCTGGGAATGATACAGTGGACCATTGCCATCCAATTGGAAGTAATATAAACATCATTGCGAGACTCAGTAATGTTTTGAGATCACAGTCCACGCTGCTTTAAGCAGTGGCTTTCCTCGTACAAATTCAGATCACGTTGTTGTTAAAATTGTGGCTTACTTGAGGCAGACATTTGGGAGGTGGGCTGTTAGCAACGCGTACACTGCAGCGGAGGCACCCACCACCCTCACGTGGGGCTGCAGTGCTCCCGCCCCCAGCGCCCCCGCCGCCACCCCGCCGAACCACACCATGCAAACTCGCCGCCACCCTTGCTCGAGCTCAAGGCGCCAACCCACCTGCGGTGCCAACCATTGTTTTACTGTTATTGCGAAATCAATACATCACTCAAGCAACGTTATCGAAAGCGTTTAAAGAATATTTATATAAATGTACTCAAGAAGTGCTGCCACCAAGGCAAAACGTAGGTGCTGAGGGTTCGATGAGAAGTATTCTGAGCTCACACAATTCAGATTAAGTTGTCTACTTTGACAATTAAAAATAATCGCAAAGGCTTTGTTCAGTCTACTAACAGCTAAGGCTACGAGTGCGTTGAGAGCTAGGTGGGCGTTGCTGGCGTGGATGCAGCCGTACGTGAGCAGCCGCCAGGGCTTTCGCCACCAGGCCCCGGGGGCCCACTCCAACTGCGCGCGCACTTGCTTCCGTACCCAGCGCATGGATGCATACCTGGTGAAGAAGCGTTTAGCGTCAATAAAAGCAGTTCTTTGAAAGTAACCAAGAATGATTTTAGACATTAAAAACTCTTACTTAATATTTCCTACAAATCTCGCGAGATTTTTGGAAGGTCCTACCGTCCATAGACCAGAACATAGTATGCTCTGTGCAGCCTAAATAATTACGCATTGCTTTATTCTCTATTAAATTCGTATGGGAACAAACAATTCGAAAGAATTTTTTTTATTGTGATTTGAATTTATTGGAAAATTCATGTTTCTCATAATTAGCAAATGATCTATGAAACTTTAGTGAAATCTTTGATGTAGATTGTACACTACAGACACTAAGTCTAAATATACGACATTTAAGGAACGTATCAAACAATCTCAACGAACCCATAGTTGTATTTAGTCAACGTAATAAATAGTAACTATATAATAGATACCTGAACTTACTATTGCAACTATCATGGTGAGAATGAAATACGGCGGCTTAAATGCTGCGATTAGTTTCTCTCTTCGTTTCTGGAATTTTGTTTTTGTCTCTTTCGTATCACCGGGGAGTTGTCCTTTCGTCGGTTTCTTCTTGCCATTCTCTTTCGGTACTCCCCAGACGGCGAGTGTGAGTCCCGCTTGAAGACGAGATTTGGCCTTGGCAGGTGGAACCTTTGCATGACCAAGAAGACGCCTGTTCTCCCCCGGGCTATTGGTTCTGCTGTCTCCTCCTGAACGTTCTAGCTCCTCGTTTTCTGTCCAGGCTTGTACTGCCGGCGGCTCCTCCGGTTGTACTCGCCTGCCCTGATGAACAGGAACTTCTTGGAACTCCTCCCCATTTAGCCTTTCCACCTGTGCGGACAAACATTATGGAATGAAATGAGTTCAGTTGGCACAAGTTTTATCCAGCTAAATAAGTGAATTGAGTATTCGAAGTAAATATATATATACTAATATAAGCTATAACGAAGCATCTATTTCTTTCGACCTTTGCTATTTCTATAACTGAGTTGATATAGTTGATGCTCACTTCAAATTGAAAGAAGAGTATGATTATGTAAAGTTTATTGCAAAACAGCATAACCTTTAGGCTGTCTGGTTGTTGCTTTAGGGATATATATTTTATAAACAATAAATAAGTAAACAAAGTAGAAGATAAAAGGAGCTTATATACCTCTTCGCAATTCTCCGCGTCTGGAGCCATCATGCACCTCAGAAGGGTCCCTGGTCATTTTCTGTATTAATCAGAACTTCAGTAGCCCTATTAACATTGTGCCCGCATCTGTGAACGCAAATGATGAACCAATAAAGTATCATTGCTAATATATACCGAATTTCAGGAGGAAAACTAATACCGGCTATTTATAGGTAAACAAATAAGGAATTCCCTCAAATTGCTTTACCGGGAAATTAGCGCGCGCACATGTCATAAATCCTTGTGGTTAAACCCGATTGTCCGGAAACGCAGATTTGTACCGTTTAGCGTCTATATAAAGGGTATAATACAAACAATGATCGGTATCCTATTAAATCAAACAACATCTTGATGTTAACTTCTTAACTAATAAAAATGGATCTATCTTAGAAATCTGGATAGCGTCATCCAGCTCGTCGTTGCAAACGAGGAATTTCGAAGAATAAATAAGGTCATGATAGAATGTTCCAGACACCGCACCGTAGCGGACAAGTACCCATTAAAAAAGTTAATAATGGGTATCCATTACAACATGGCAATAGATATTAATTGCCGAGCGTTTTACAATTAAAACGCTCTGTATAACATTACAGTTTATTATTACAGTTACTTATTGTGAACCATCATCGACTAGTTTTATTCACTATCTTTTATATTATCAGTTTTAAATGGCGAAGATTAGAATCAGATTATTACATCTGATTGATTAGATTAATACTGGTTAGCACCACGGGATTACCTAACCGCGTTACATTTGGGTGTGTCGGCTGCGTTAAAACCAAATGCTAACAAATTTAACTCATGGTAAACCCAATTCGAGTTTAATCATCACTTTAAATACATTGCAAGTGAGTTTATTGGAATAAATACGGTTTATATGCGTTATGGAAATTAACTGTTAATTTCCATAAGAGCTGGTTATTATGTAATCATCTAATTTGTTAATAATTTTGAAGTATTTTAAATTACTCCTTAATGATAGAACAAGATACCCGTATTAAACGTTAATAGAAAAATAATTCTCAATTAAAGAGTGCTTCAGTGCTTAACTATCCGTATTCGGATGTGAAATCTCAACTTAAGTATTGTTATAAAGGAAATGGGTGCTTGTCTATCAAAACATTGACCGGCGCTATTCAGGGATACCTATAATAATGATGTTGGTAATTAAATTAAATGAATTGAATTGCCACTCAATGGTGTTTTAATTCTTTAAAAATATTATTTATATACAAATAATTTTCGTATTTGTATATAATATCATGTAATCATTGTTGCTACCTTATTAATATTAAAATTTTATTTACTTCAACGTCAGTTTGGTCAATATAAGAGTCTGCGGATTTATATTCTGCAAGCCCTGGGTTGGATGCGTTGTTTGCTGTCACATTATACGCGATTATGTAATGCGTCTTACAGAATTTTGCACTAATATTGAGTCACTATTAAATATCCTGCGCAGTTTAAAAAATATTTATAATAATGACGACATTTATAATGTATGAATGTTATTACACGCCTGTCAGACAGTTGAATGATGGGTGTCAATTGAATGATCAATAATAATACTCTTTGCATAGTTATAGCTCTTTACGGATGATTATATATTATGTCAAAGGATGCAATTCTTATTAACTTGCAACGGTCTTGGAACGCGTAGACGAATAAAGTTCTTTATTTCGATGTCAGAACTAGGGAAATAAAAATACTGAATGACTAAATTGATGATTCATTCAGCGATTTCATATCAGCAGTTGTAATATTTTATCCAAAAATGACAGTGCCCAATAATTTTAATTTGAGTATTGGGATATCTAAATATATAAAAAATCAACATGTGAAAAAAATATATTCGATAACTCAGTGAAAACGTAAGAATTCTTTGAAAAGATTTCGTTATATTTTACGTAGTTTGATTGATTATCTTAAATTATTTCTCTTATTAATTAAATATGCAGACAAATTTAATATAGCTAATTATTCGTTTTTTTTTTAGTTTAGCGTCTATATCTGATGTATGCGCTTCGCTTGCTAATGGGTACTTTACTATTCAATTACAAAAAAGGTTGCGGCAAATTTAGGTTCCAAATCGTTAGGTGGAACAAAGTATAATGGGTTCTTTATTCTACCGTTTGTACTCACTTAATTTATCCCGCGTAACGAAAACTATTTATATTGCATAAAACATATAAAATTAATTTTTAAGTTATGTAATTTTTTAAGTCATCAAGTGGCCCTACCACTGTTAGTACTATTATTGGACACCTTTTATGTTGTCCGAATACATTAAACGTGATAGTAATGTACTTAATGTATTTTAAACTGTTCAACATAATTAACAATTTTTTTGCATTCTGAAATGTTTTGGGTTCGAGACACGAAGGGGAAAAAATTGATGATTGTGTATACACGATGCATGATAAATCAAAGAGTAAAATAATAATGTGATGTAATAATATGCCTAAAGACTTCCGGTCGGAGTGACAGACGGCCGATGGACATCTGTGTGTTGCATTTGGTATGCCGCCGGCGGCAGCGGGTTGGTGTCGCAACACCAAATGCAGCTGGTACGACCGTTCGGGAGTCCATCTATAGGCGAGATGTCCCGATAAGCATATTTAACTGAACTCGCCTGACGGGGCAGCGTATTACGCGTTCCGCTTAGACGATTAGACGCCAGTGCGAAGTTTTGTAAGTTAAATGTAATTACTCGCAGTACGTATTGTTTATAACTTAAAAAAGTAAAGTAACAGCCTATAAATGTCCCACTGCTGGGCAAACGCCTCCTCCGTAAAGAGAGTATCAGGGCATACTCCACCACGCGACCCCACCGAGGATTGAACTCAGGTGATCGAGTAAATTGAATTAAACGCGAGCGCCCGGACACTGAGCTATCACGGCTTATAACTTAAGTCACTGTGAAATTCGTCAGATATACGAGTACGTATCAATGGATAATACTGCGTCTTTCCTTCTCCATTGGTTAATGTTTGCTTTATCCGAAAATTGTGTACAGTTGAATACAGTGAAGTACAGTTGATAGTTTGACCTAGTTGATATGATGATATTCACATTGGTGAGACAAGAGAGATCACGTCAGGCTAGATACTTTTAATAAATTGTGCTGCCCCGTACGTTGTCATAACAGAAAAAAAAATTGTTAATTAAAGTTTTAAAAATTGTTAAGTAAATTGGAAATTAAAAATTGTCACTTACGGATTATTGTTATAGGTGATTAAACTGATTAAAACAGTCTCATTTAATAACTAGTGTTAACGAAAACATAAGAGAATGTTGTTACGTCTTATTAAATTATCTGAAATGTGAATAAGCTTTAGTAGGTATTTTATAATACTAACAGAATGAATTTGAGTCATAACACTAAGTTCATTGATGTACTTCTAGCTATGGGCAAGAATTTTGCCAGAAGTTATATTCGCAGAAGCCCAGGCAGGATTTTTTTAAATGTTGTCACATTGTGAGCGCGTATTGTGCTTTGCGCTCGGTCTTTTCATTTAATTTAATCAAAGCAATTGTAACATGATGTATACACAGTACAAATGCTAAAATAACATTTTCTACAATCTTTGTCTGTCTGTCTGTTTGTTCCGGCTAATCTCTGAAACGGCTGGACCGATTTGGACGGGACTTTCACTGACAGATAGCTGATGTAATGAAGGAGCCTCTCCACAAGCCGCCGCCTCACGGCCGGCGTACCACAAGGCTCCTGCCTCTCACCTTTGCTCTTTACGCTCTACACGAGCGATATACCTAAAGACCCCCACGTCAATCTCGCGCTTTTCGCGGATGACACGGCGCTCTTTTATTCAGACCGCAACCTTAGACAACTAACCACTCGACTCCAAAGCGCCGCCGACCGCCTCAGCGACTGGTTCCGCAAATGGAGAATAGAAATAAATCCCGAAAAGAGTGTGGCGATTCACTTCACATGAAGTACTTACCCGTCAAATCTTTATAATGGCCCTCGTCAATGCAGAAAGTTGGGGCAAATATCCCTTTATGGCCAACCGCTGCCCTGGGAGAAAAAGGTCAAATACTTAGGAGTCACTTTCGACTCGCGTATGTCATTTAATACGCACTTTAACAACGTTCGCAATAGAGCCGCGTTCGTCTCCGGCCGGCTACACAATTTAACTAACGCTAAAAGTTAAATGCCCTTAAGACACAAATTATTATTATATAAGACCTGCGTACGACCTATTATGTCCTACGCATGCATGACCTTTGCCCACACGCACCCTACTCGCTTGTACAAGTTGCAAATAATACAAAATAAGTTCATCCGCCGCGCAACCGGTGCGCAGTGGTATCAACGCAACGTCGACCGCACAGCGATTGCAGACTCCCGACGATTCGCGAATATTTTAAAGACCTGACCAAACGGTTCTTCGATAGAGCCGAACATCCTCCCAACCCTCTGGCGGTAAGCGCAGCAAAATTACAACCCGACACAAACGCGAACGTCAACAAGCGTCACCCGCGAAACGTCCTCATCGACCCGGTCGAGGAAGGGGACTTAGATACGCCGGACCCACCGCCGGGGGTCCCGCCGGATAACACTACACCCACAGTTAGTGCAACAACAAACATACTAGTTCGCCCTCGCCTCCGAGCACGGCGAGACCAACACAACGCGTACACAAGGTACACCCGCGTTCCGGGGCGGTTCTCACCGCTCCCAGCCACCGATTAGCTAATTGCACAGTCGACGGCCATCGGAGTTTCGGTCCGAACCGCGACCTCGATGGCCCTTAGATGACATACCACACTTAAACGTACGCATGAGCACATGCGTGGCCCTACCCACAGCGGAGGGCCCAAACCCGTGGGTTCTGGCTAGCCCACCGGTTCTGCGTCAGATGAAGCTTTAATAGTCTCGGGACTGAAAGCACAAACATCAGTTAATACAAGAATACAAGAATGAAGGAGTAACTAAGGCTACTTTTATTTTAGATTTTTTTTAATTTTAAATTCTACGCAGACGAAGTCGC